CTCCCGACCCCTTCGCGATGCTCGACAAAACGGCGCTTTAATTATACCGCGGGATTAATTAACTCTCCGTCGAACTTGGCGGAACACACCCGCGGGACTCTCGCCCGAGCCGATCGCAAATAATTAAAGACCGTTTTTCGTTCGTTCCTTCGCTCCTTTCTCTCCTTCGTGGAACCGCGCTTCCCCCGAAGCTCACACGCAAACAGATGCTTCGCGAAGTTCGCGGAGCGATCTAATATTGACGGGCTCGTCTCTCGACGCGTCGACGTTGACGTTGTTCGATGTACAAATGGAATATCTTTAGCTACGACCTCAAAAAAAAAAACGTACGTAACACGCGATGCTATCGCAAACTGCACAACACGATCAACGAAAAGCATCGTAGTTTATATACGAATTCTGGTTTTATATTTAAAGAAATCGAAAGCACAGAGAGAATATGCCCCAAATATATGTTCCAAATTTCACATTTAATTATATCATCTCTAACTGTGTCCTATTTCTCTATTTTTACTTTTTTTTTACCAATAATTCAATAAGCTTTAATAAAATTTCTAAAGACGTGTAACATAAAAATATATACTTTTACTTCTAGTTTCGACCACGACATTTTTAAATGTGATATTTCTTCGTTTCTTTTTTTACGAATCGCATATTTGATGTAATTTCAGCTCATCGTTGAAAAATGCATTCTACCTGATTACAAAAGTAATTTTACCGGGGAGAAATGCGAATCGACTCCTGAGGATATAGTTTGAGCTTCCGCGCGCAGAATCACGCGAGCGTGTAGCGTGTGTATGTGCGTGTATAAATTGGACGGCACACGAACTCGCAATCTACACACATAGGAAAGTTACACGAATATACCTAAAGCTAAGAGTGGATCTAGCCGAATCCATTAAATATTTGAGCGAACGAAAGAGGCTAGGGAAGCAAGCCCGTGGAGGAAGTCTCCCCTCGGCTCTTAAGACCCATATAGTAGCCCAACTCTCTCTGTATTAATATTTACATTTATATTTCTTCCTCGTCGTCCCTCTTATTTCAACTTAATGCCGCCGGGGATTTCCAGCGTTCCAGACTGAATTATTATGATTTTCACAATTCAACACATTTCGAGCAACTATATTTTGGATTGCACGCTTTCTGATATAAGCGGTATACGACACCTTTGCGTGTCACATCGATTCATTCACTATTTTACTGATTGTGATAATTAATTCTAGCTTACAAGCCTTCGTAAAAAATAAATTTTGAATTGCATTTTTTGTAACTTTCTCTATTATTTTATTCTACATCTACATCAGTTCTTAACTAATCTCTCACATTACCACGCATTTAAAAAAAACTCACAGATCTATAGCTAACATAAAATTAAATTTCTGTTTAAATTATATATATAATTTTAAGAAACCAATTTTGTCAATAATTAATAACATATAGTTTGATCATTACTAATCTGATATAATTATTATCTCATATTACTTGATAATTAGATCTGATAATTAACAATATTAGATAATTAATAATGTTATCTCAATCATTATGTCAATAACTTTCGGAGAGTTAAATAAACACTCCATCAAATTCCTGATTAAATCAAGACAAACTAAATATGTGTAACATCCGCAAATGTTTGATTGCCGTGGTTGATCGACTACACATTGACCGTACTCTTACCTTTAATCAAAATAAAATAAAAGATACTTCTACTGGGGGAAAGGTCGTGGTATGTATACAAATAATATAAAATATATATGAGTTATTTAATTTAATATGATCAATAACAAATTATTCAAAAATATTCGAAATACGTATAATGATACGTAAAATTTACGATTTTTGTTACAGATATACGACTGTAACCGATATGTTCATAAATGACGATTAATTATGCGACAGGTAATTATTAATTATTCGTTTACAAACGTGGAGTTTATTAAGCGTTAAATAATACGAGCAATCGCGGATAAAAAAGTCGTTAATTAATTTATTAATTTGTGTCTCTGAATCGCGGAAAATGAGTATACTGACTGCGTGTTATGGGTTTTACGAGATCACAAGAAACGACGGAGCGGCTACACACACGGGTGCCTGTCAGTTCGATGGTCGGGACGAGAATGATAACGAGGTGACCTTTTCGTAAACACGGCGTGGTATACGACGCGACGTACTGCGTAACGAACACGAATGCCGCGTGCCAACCGTCTCTCTGGTGACCAATAACACCTAATACGAATAATATTTAACGTATTATTTAAACATAATACACGTTATAGAATGAATATTTGCCGGCTATTCTGTTGCTTACATTTCAATGAACGGATCACTATCGCACATTTAGCGCTTTATTTTGTGAACCCGTTAGCGTAAAACGATTTTGTGGATTATTGCTTAAAACAACTGATTCCATTCAATTCAGAATTTTATAATGGATATATTGTAACCTGCATCGTCTGAATGAATACGCAATTTTTATTAATACGTGTATAAATGCTTAATGATAAATTCTGCAATATACTGATAATAAATTTTACACCCAAATTGTTTTTAATCTTTCCTTTGAACGGAAATTTTATTTAAATACGCGATTTAAAAGAAATTATTGAATTTAATGTATATTTTTTAATGATAAAATTTATCTTTATTTTGATAAAGAAAGTGTTTACGTATCAGCGTCTATCAAATTTTATCCTACACAAAGCAAAAAATTTGAAGAAAGAAAATAATAGCTGAATAAGTACTAATATAACTTTTATTTTTTAATTGCAAGCTGGAGATAAATTTTATCCTTTAAATTTAAAATTTTTTTCAAACAGAACGATTAATTAATTAAATAATTTAATGACAATTCTTATAAAAATGAAAGATTAAATAACTTTGATGCAATATTTAAAGTTTTATTATTTAAGAAAATTTTCTTCTTTGACTTTGCTCTTCCACTATCTTTTAAAATAAATTCAACATAAATG